TAACTGTACGAGTCTCACTCACTCTGTTCTTCCGACAGATCGGGAGAGAGGGGGCGGTGTTTTGCATGATTTCGACCTGCGAATGCAGACACGATGGCTGGATTGCGTTTACATTACACTGAGATCCGATCACAAAAGTGGACAAAACCGGCTTTTTTGACGAAACGTGTTTAGGGTTCAGATTGCACTATATGTGGAGAATAATGCACGGCAATCAGCTCATTTTTTTAAAGTGGCGTTTATCGGTTTTTGCAAATGAACTCTTCATATGTTTAATATTAAAAAGGATGGTGGAAAATTAAGAAATTTAGGAATTGGATTGTTCATAATAAGTCGCTGTTGTTATTGTGTGTGGTTGTTGTGTACTACTGCAGCTTTTGAGTCCAAGACACATTTTCTGTAAAGGACAACTTAACTTAACTTAACTTAACTTAACTTAGTGTGAAAATGGGAGAAAATGTAGAGAATGTATTTAATCACTTCAGCTCCTTTACTGAACACCATTATTACATAATTGAAGACTTCACTCTGTTATTGGGTGGATCAAATTAAAATATCATGCTTTTTAATGCATCTCATGGAGTTGACACAAATTAAGTTATGAAGTGAATAAATGTACATTTTTGGAACAAAAAAAACATTAAAAAAAAAACCTGTTCCCTTACATGGTTCATTAGCTTAGACCTTTCTCTACAAATATATCAATTTACAAATAATGTATCAAGCGTTAAGATTATTGTTAAAAATTAGCAAATTTTTTACAATTATTTTTTAAGATTATTCTTTCAGAGTCCTGGTCTCGTTTCTCTCTGTCACCTCACAGACGTAACTTCCATTCATCTGTAATTGGTTGGCTGTCCTGCCAGTCCCAGTATAGGGCGAGTCCTCGTGCAGGTATTCGGTTCAGGTGTGTCTGAGTCTCAGACCAGGGTTGAAGCATTAGGCAGAAAGGTCACTGTTCGGGCCAGGTTTGAGGTTCCGGGGGTCTAAAGGAATTAACAAAGGTTAGAGGTCATGTTGAGGAGGTACAGGCAGGTTCCGCGCTCAGAAGCTGACGGGACCTTCAGATACAGACACAGCTGGGAGAGGAGATCTTTCCTTAGCAGACTTGGTATCTATGTGTGTATGTTTGTGTGCGATCGTGATGATTAATACAAACCTGTTGCACACCCTTTGTTAGTAAGATTGTTGATGCATTTGTCACTTTGCAGTAGAGCTCGGCTCGCTCACCCGCTCTCTTTCGCTATTCTATTTATTTCTCTCCCTCGCAGCATCTCGCGCTTTTTCCGTCTTTCTGAAGTTGGATCAGGTGTTTGAGCTGATAATGGCGGCTCCTTTTCCACATCTCGCTTTACAGTCCCTGCACACACACACACACACAAACACACTCTGATGGCATATACTCATGCATGCACATGCAGTCCAGATTTATTATCCATGTTGGAATGGATGAATAAACATTTTCAGCTCTAGCTGGTGAAGGGCTGTCAGAGCAGCGTGTTTGTGTGTGTTGAAAATGAGGAGTGTGCGTGTGTTTGTGTGTGTACTGGCTGCTTTGCTGCTCTCAGATTTCTTCTTTGACTTTTTTTTATAATTAATCAGCCCTTCAAACTGTGTGGCATCGCACACACTGACACACACACTGTAGTTTGCATTGTGCCTTTAATCAGTGCACTTACACAATACATCCTGACAGCTAATTTTAATATCTATATGCATATGTAGATTCTGAAGTTCTTATTGGCTTAAGTGGGTGAAGTCTGAATGTATGTGTCAGACTGCTTATTTTGCATATCTATCCTATCTCATTAGGGCCATTCTTGCGTTCAGAAACCGTTAGACACAGCGCAATGAAATGCAGCAGAAAGCACGTGTCATGAGGCACATTTGTAAAAGCTGAACTTCTTTTAACTGAAACTGTCTCAAAATGTGATGATATGGCAGGAGATGCTTTAAAAACCCACAACATTCAAAGACATCAGTCTAGTGCATCTTAAGATTACAATTACAAAACAGACAGATGTAAGGATGGTACCTTAGATCTGTTTATTTCATTAAATGCACAAATTCAAACTCATTACAATCATTTGTGTTCATGCAGACTGAACAGAAAACAAAGTTGATTTAAAGGTGGGGTAAGCGATTTTCCAAAAACGCTTTAGAAAACTGATTCGGGCCGAATAGCAAAACAAACTTGTAGCCAATCAGCAGTAAGGGGCGTGTCTACTCATGATGTGGAGGAGAGAGCGTTCAGTGCACGGGACGGACATTAGCCGAGCCGAGCGACAGAAAGATAGAGATGGTGGATAAAAAACAAAAGAGGAAACCGTCTGCGGTACAAAAGAAGGCTTAAGGCAAGAAGTAGGACCCATGTAAATATCGGATCAGCTTTCCAGCGCTGAAGAGAACTCAAGGAGCGGAAGGCCTGTGATTGGACACCGAGGTTGCTTTGTTTCTTCTCGACAGGTGAGTAACACCGTGTCTGCGCCGCAACAGCTAAAGTCTGTCTAGTACACTGGACGCGACAAAGCGACCGTTGAAAATCATTTGAAATTTGTTTAAATACGTCGTGAATAGAACGCAGCAGCAGTTTTCTGTCGGGGATTTGTCGTGTCGTGCCGCGCCGCATCCAGTGGAGACCATAGATATGTATATATATATCTATGGTGTAGACAGCATCAATGATTATGAGTTCCATAGTATTTTGTCGCGCCGCGCAACTCGCGTCCGGTGTAGGCACGGTGTAACTTTGGTTTTGCTTTGTTTCACAGAACTAATCATTGCCTGGGTTGCGTACGTATGTGTGGGGCGGAGCTATTAAAATAGGGGCGAGACCCTTTTGGGGTAGGGACGTGTTTGTTTTGGTGATTTCAAATGTCAACATTGGCTACCAGAAATCGCTTACCCCACCTTTAAATGCCAAGGTTGTGCATCTTTTGTATGTGTAACACTTCTCTTTTTTCACAGGTGTGTGTGGATGTTGTGGTCCTCTGCGGCCACGCTACAAGCGTCTAGTGGGCAACATTTTCCCAGAGGACCCCAAGGTAACATATCCCTGGAATAGATGGAAATGCAAGGATTTTCTGGAATATTACAATAATGGAATGGAATATTCCAGGTTGCCAACTTGTATATATGCATTATATCATTATATCTTGGTTTTATAATAATAAAATGAGACATACACAAAATTTAAATAAATGACTAAAAATAATTTTAAGTGTGTGTGTTATATATTATGATGTAATAATTATTAAATACGTATTTGTTTGAAATTAAAGAATTAAAGTTATTAAAATTAAAATGATAAATATACAATGAAATCTTAAAATTCACTCAAATATTTAAAAAATTTGGAATGTATTTTAAATCTCCGTTTGACGAAGCTATCCATACATTTTGTAACTGATAGACTCTTGTTCATTGGCAAGGCAACGGATATTAGCTGTTAATCTTAAAATGGCTGAAATATTGGCCTGATCAATATCTCACTGTGTCATCTGCATTTTAAACTGTTTATAGATTCATTCAAGGAGACAGTAGAATTCTGCAGTCAACAAGTCTTGCTCATTTACATAAGTTTTTGGACAGATGCTTTAAATAAATGCTTCTTTAAATACCATCTTCATATCAGAGTTCATGCACTGGGATTCAGACACATTCAAGTTCAAGTGCTGTGATCAAAATATATTCTTATCGGCTCTTCCTGTCCTCAGAGAACAGCTTAAGTAAATGCCACGCATAACAAGAAAGAAGCTGCTTGGACTATCAATCTAAATTTAAAGCACCGTTGACTAGCAGCTGTTCATTATTCATACTGTTGGAGAAAAATATCTTGGCACTGTTATTATGAATATATATTATTAATGCTTTCATTTTGACCTTTGACCAGTTCAGCAGTTTTTGAGAATGTGATATACAACAACACACACACTGGGAAGGCTTTTAACCTTGCAGTTACTCCATATTCATCACATTAATATTTAGCTCTGTTGATTAGAGTGACACACACAAACACACACACATGATTGTTTTCTCTGAAGGCGAAGTGTGAGTAATATTCTTATGGGCTGGTGTGACTGTTTCCACCGACACACACACACACACACACACACACACAGAGAGAGAGAGACAGATTCCCTACAGTCATGTTATGTACCATACGTTAAACTCGTGGTAAGATAATTAGCACTTTGAGAGCTTCAGGAGTTATGATGCTTTCTGTTGAATAACACTTTTTAAGTTCAGTAGAAATATTCAGTAGAAAAATATTCACTGTAAATATCAAAGTTTTTAATACTTTTCATCAATATTTATATTTCAGATATTTTTACTAAGGCATCTCTAGGTACAATTACAAACTAAAGTAGTCCAGAATAAGATGCTAATAAGATAATTTATAAATCCTGCTCAGAATTTAAGGATTATTTGAACCATTTTTAACAACAGTAGGAGATTTTCTTTAACTGGGAAAATAAAGAATAACAATAAATGAATACAGCACAATAATGCATCTACAGCACAGACACTTAATAGTCCAAGATTATTGCAGAAAGTGGCTATTTCTGGTAAAGAGACACGTTTTCTTGTAAAGTTCCAGTCAAATTCTAGTTGTATTTTACAATTTATTGTACTTTTTTTTTTTTTGTTCCTCAGGATGGACTGGTGAAATCCGATATGGAAAAGCTGACTTTTTATGCAGTGTCAGCACCAGAGAAGCTGGACCGTATCGGAGCGTACCTGGCCGAACGCCTCAGCAGAGATGTGGTACGACATCGCTACGGGTAAGACACGCATGAATACAAGCACACAGTTTTTTCCCACACCGCTATAGTGCCAATGCAGAACTAACATTGACACACCTGCCATTAATGAGTGAAATGTTGAATAAATAATTTTTACTGGCCATAAAATTGTATTTTTTTTTCCTTTTCTATGATAATTATATTTTTGTCCATATGACAACAGATGTTATTGTGTTAATAAAGACATATTTAGCTTTTGTTCCTCATATTTCATTTTTGGTATCTTAATTTGATAAATATTCTGCATATGTGTTCTGGATTAAAAAAACAGGCATATGATGTATGATGATAATTTGTCCATGGAAGTCAAATTTGTCAAATTCGTTATTCTTACAGTTTTATTATTTATATACGGAGCCCCGCACATGACATGCAAGAAAAAATAAATAAATCGTGCGCACGATTTACTAATTCGTTCCCTCGATGTACTAAAACGTGCGCACGATTACTATTTCTTTCCCTCGATTTGCTAAATTGTGCACACAATTTACTAATTCGTTCTCTCGATTTTTTTAAATCGTGTACACGATTTAGCAAAACAAGGGAACGAAATAGTAAATCGTGCGAACAATTTATAAATCGAGGGAACAAAATAGTAAGTCGTGCACACGATTTAGCCTACAAATTTTTTCCTGCATGCCATGTGCGGGGCTCCGTATTTATTTTATTTCTTACTATTTTATTATTTTATTTCTTACTATTTTATTGTTATTTTATTTTCTTACGTTTATTTTTACTAGTATTTGGAGTACGAATATGTTCAGTATCTTCAAGTGTTCATTTTGGACCCTGATTCTTTGTGTGTGTGTGTGTGTGTGTGTGTGTGTGTGTGTGAACAGGTACGTGGTAATAGCGATGGAGGCGTTGGATCAGTTGTTGATGGCGTGTCATTCCCAGAGTATCAAGCCGTTTGTGGAGAGCTTCTTACACATGGTAGCCAAACTGCTGGAATCCAGAGAACCCGATTTACAAGTGCTGGGAACCAACTCCGTAAGTTTGAGTGTGTGACTGAACAAACCAGTAAATACACTCCAAAATCTCTGCAGGAGATGCGATTTAGGTGAAAGATGAGAAATGGCTTTGACTGTTATTCTGCCATTTATGTTATGGTGCTTTTTTGTAGGGATGCACCGGTTGACCGGCCATAAATCGGAACACTGTTTTTTTGTATTTTTTTCATCCGATTTTTCCGGAAGTGCGCCCGCATGCACAGACTACATTTGTAGGCCTAATCATTCGCGAACAAGTCATTTGTGTGGAAGAATTTTTAAATCTGTGCGCAGGACGTGAAGATTGCAATCTGCAATGTCTGCAAAGGACAAGTTAATCGCGGAGGAACAACAGCGAAGACATTCGGCACAACAAACTTGATCAGACATTTAAAAGTTCATCACCCGAAAGAACACGATGAGTATCAAAAGTCTGTTGATAATGCAAAACAGGCAAGACCTTCATCCCTCACTCAACCATCGGTGAAATCCGTCATTCTACAAAACCAGAGTTACAGCCGAGACAGTTCAAAAGCACAAGCCATTACAAAGAAAGTAATGGAATTTATTAATAACAGGCTATGATCTGTCATTTTTTGTTTGTTTAATAAAAAGGTACAAGGATCTATATTTCTCCAACACAGTTAATTTGGAATAATTTATTTATATAGCCGACTTTGGTTTTATTTAGTTTCACTGGTAAAGACCTTTTTTCTTCACACCAAATTTAAAAACGAAAACAAATGCTGAATGCTGATTAAGTAACATCTTTGTTTGGAGTGTTGAATGTGTTTTGATTGTGTTGTTTGGATTGTGGAACTATGCAGTTGTTGCCTTTAAAATTACATGGTTACAGTTAATGTTTTCATTTAAGGCCAGTTTATAGTTTCAACCCAATTTAAAAACGAAAGCTAAATGCTTTTGTCAGTAGGCCAACCTATGTTTGTATTGAATGTAGCCTACTTACTGCGCAGTTACTGCTGTTAATTTCAGATGGTTACAGTTATTGTTTTCAATAGCCAAAACCCAGTTTAGCCTGTTAAATACAAAATAAACATCTTGTTTATGTATACTTTTATCCTTTCTTGTTTGTTGCTTGATAAACATTTTAAAAATCGGAAATCGGTATCGGAATCGGCCAGTTTGCTTGTAAAAAATCGGTATCGGAATCGGCCATGAAAAATCATGATCGTGCATCACTACTTTTTTGTCCCTTTTATTCTCTCTTGCACGCTCTCTCTTTCTCGGCTCACTCAATTTTCTGCTGTATTATTCCTCATCTGGATTTCTCAAATCTGTTCCCAGTGGTTCTGAAGCGTTGCAGAGATTCTTCTGCATTGAATTGTTTAGGTATTTTAAACATTGCATCATCTATTAAAGGCTGAAACTTCATTTCTCAGTCAAGCTGCATAAACTAACACGAGATGTTATTTAATATCCTTGCAAAAGCAGGTCACTCAGAAATCATCATGGTATTGACTGCATGAGTTTATTTAACATAGGATTGCCCACATCGTTTAATATTTAGAAACTTACCAAACAGAAGACAGTGGAAACAGAGGTTGTTTAATGCATGTTCAATTTTGAAGGTCAGACAATGGGTGGGAATGGTCATGTGAAACTGAGTTATGGCTGTTTTTAGAGGACTTTAGTGAAATAAAATGCTACAAATGTCAAATATGTACCCTTTAAATTGTTTAATTCAAACAGGCAATGATTCACACATGCTGTATGCACTTGAACACACACTTTTGCTCATCTAATGAGATGTCACACTTCTCTGGCTGATAACAGTAACTTCCTCTGCACATCGTGGAAGGGGAATATCGCCTTCACACCTTTGCATGGGAGTGTTTTTGAATCTATTATTGTGTGAGAAAAGATTGGATGTGGTTGTGTGTTTTTCTGACATAATCATTATGGGTGTGTGTTTGATTCCTTGTAGTTTGTGAAGTTTGCAAACATTGAGGAGGATACGCCATCTTACCATCGCAGATATGACTTTTTCGTCTCTCAGTTCAGTGCCATGTGTCACTCCACACACGAGGACCCCGAAACTCGCAGCAGGTGTGTGCATTAGTATGTGTTTATGGTTATTTCATGTTGGGCTGTCAATAAAAGAAAATAATTAATATAATATGATATAATAAATATAATATAATATATATGATATAATAATGATATAATATAATAATATAATATATGGTCATTTTCCAGCATTGACAACTTAAAAGCTGTTTATGATGTTTGCAGCGCAGTATTTAACCAGAAGGGTAAAAATGGTGGTTATTTTTGTCAGTTACGGTTCGTTAGATCTAGCATTCTGCCAACTTCAAATCAGATACAGAGATGAAATATTGCGGTAAGACCACATTTATTTGAATGAATTATAGCATTTATTTGAATGAGTTATCGATCGATCTATCGAGAGAGAGAAGACAGTTGTGTGAGTTACCTGTGTCTGTGCTTCTCTCTCTACAAACAATGAAGCTGTTTAGTTACGTCAGAAACAGCGATTTTACCCCCTCCTTGCTAAGAAATATAATGTAGCGATCTAGTATCTAGGGTATTTTATTAATAAAAGTAGCGGGGCAGCACTGACAATAAGTCTCTGTGTGCGAGCAGCAGCCCGATCTGCGATCTCCGACCTCTCTCCCTCGCAGTGTTTATGTGTGAGTGATGTGTGTTTATGTGTGTTTGTTTGTGTGTGTCAATTAAAGCAGCGTATTAATATAGGACGGTGATTCTAAACTGACTTGGAACTACCTGTGCATTAAACGGATTTAATGCATACCTGCCAGCCAATCAGAATCGAGTATTCAGAAAGACCATGGTATAATATAATATAATATAATATCCTGAAATCATGGTTTCCACAAAAATATTAAGCAGCACAGCTGTTTACAACATTGATTATAATACGAAATGTTACTTGAGCATATTAGAATGATTTCTGAAGGATCATGTGACACTGAAGACTGGAGTAATGGATGCTGAAAATTCAGCTTTGCCGTCACATGAATAAATTACATTTTTAAATATGTTAAAATAGAAAACATTTTTAAACGAAATAATATTTTTTATTATAAAAATAACTGTTTATACTGCATTTTTGCAGTGTTTTCAATTTAATTTGTTTTAATTTAATGAACTAATTAATTAATTAAGGAAAGAAAACCAGTACATATATTACAACGTTTTTATCCACTAGCCTGAAGCCCTATAGGTGGATTCTGAAGTCAGTTCTGAGAAAATTCTAGCATCATTTGTTTCTAGCTGGTGGGGGGAGTGAATGTACAGCGCTCTCTTCCACCTTCAATACCACGACTGAGGTGCCCTTGAGCAAGGCACCGAACCCCCAACTGCGCCGCAGCAAAAAAATGGCTGCCCACTGCTCCGGGTGTGTGTTCACGGTGTGTGTGTGTGTTCACTGCTGTGTGTGTGCACTTTGGATGGGATAAATGCAGAGCACTAATTCCGAGTATGGGTCACCATACTTGGCCACATGTCACGTCACTTTCGTCTTTTTTAACGCAGTCAGATTCTTATAGTTAAAATGTGATTCAAGTATCCAAATACTTTTGGGACCACTATAATTGACACTAATGAGTGCATTATTTAGTGTTCATTTATTTAGTGTATTTAACATGTTCTTGCTGTAGGATCCGTGTAGCAGGCATTAAGGGTCTCCAGGGTGTCGTCAGAAAGACTGTGAATGATGAACTCCAGGCAATCATCTGGGAACCTCAACACATGGATAAACTCATCCCCTCGATGCTGTTCAACATGCAAGATAATGAGGACTCCGAGAGGTACAGTACACACACACACACACACACACACACTTGAAGGCAAAATCATTTAATTTTTGATGCTCAAGGTGATATTTGCTGTTCGATTTGTTCTTGATGTTTTTTGTTCTGTACCATGCACTGAGTAAAAACACCATAACACACGGAGAGGCAGGGAGGAAGATTTTCTGATAAGTGAGCTTTGGAGGTCCACGTGTAGAGGGCAGTCAAGGATATCTGATTCCTTTAAGGTTGTTTGTGTTTGTGCGAGAATAAAACATGAGTGTGTCACAGATAAGGGCCCCTGCGTGCTCCGAATATTGAAGTTTACTTGGCTGTTTGTGTTTTTGAGTACGGAAACATCAATCATACCCCTCTGTCCTATAATCAGGAGCTGAAATCCGATCAGGTGTATTGATCAGTGATTAAGGTTGCAAACACAAACCTGGGCATGCGTTTGATTGACGTGTGTAAGCTGGTTGGAAATGACATCTGACTTGCTAATGTCACAGCGGACGCTTTTCTCATCTGAAAGCTTATCACTCTGAATATATTAAAATGCTATTTTAGAAATGTTTAATTCAATTAATTATTTACCGCAATTACTTTCAAGCTGCAGTTAGAAAGAGTATATTCAGAAATTGCATAATCTACTATACTATTCTGACTATTTTTGTTGGATACCTTACGCATACGCAATATGCAAATTTTCTGTTCATAGAATTAACAGACTTACTACATTAGCTAAAATGTGCAGTATATAACTAGTGCATACTGCTCTGAGTGCTCTGTCCTGTGTTGCACTGAACTTGTCCAAGCACCTCTAATGTGACTATTAACTATTAACCATGATTAGACAACAAAATCGTATTATTTACTCCTTATTTATAATTTCTGCATAAAATGCAAGTTGATGGGTTCTGTTTGGCTGTAAGCTTTCTGAAAAGGACTCCAATGATATTGTTCCTCTGTGTCATTATTGTAATAACTGTAGTGTGAAAACACCAAAAAAAAATTCCTGGTAAAAATTGTGATTCAAAAAGAAAAGCTTCATGTTTACTTTGCTTGTTTGTGGGGCTGCACAATGTGTGATTTATATATCAATATAATTGTAAAAATAATAATAATACCTATTACTATTGTAATATTTCAAACTGAGCTGCTCCGAAATAGTGAAAACACTGGATCATGAGCTGCTTGCATGGAAAATAACACTCTGCTTCACTCTGAAACATGCAGCACACATATTTATTTATTTATAATTAAATTGCAGCCTTTTTGATTTCATAATCGCACTAAGCCATATGACGATTTTGGTTTTATTTGGGTTAATTGTGCAGCCCTAAATCATTATAGTGTTCGGCCTTGCTGTGAACAGCCCTGTAAACAGCAATGTAGACAGCATTCAGTTTAAAACATAGTGCATACTGCATACTATTTTACACACTTTTTATTGAAAAAATAGCAGGAAATATATACAGTATATACTGTGAAGTAAAGCAGTATGCAAGTATTCCTTTACAAAACATAGCCACTGCTTGTGGTTGAGGTGCTTTAATTTACAGCACTCTGATTAGATTGAATATGTGACTATTATTGGCTCCAGAAAACTCATACACGCATAGAAACAGCTGATGTGTGTGCGTGTGCAAAGTTGTGTGGTTTTTTCAGCTTTTCAAGGTCGTCAGATTCTGTTAATTGCTTTCCATGGGCTGTCAGTGAGCCGAAGGACCATAGAGTACGTGTGTGTGTGTGTGTGTGAGAGAGAGAGAGAGAGAGAGAGAGAGAGGGGG